TAAGTGGCGCAGTGACCTCCCTGATCAAGCCCGCACCCAACGGACGGCTATCTAGGGCATGAACGGGGAAAGGGACATCAACAGGAAGAAGGGGAATCCCTAAAGCTAAACAAAATTTCTTATCAATAAAATTCCCAGCCGCGCCTGAATCTACCAGCGCCTTATGCGGGGAATGAGGTGCTACCTGTGGAAAACTCACAGGCAAACAGAAATGTGCAATAGAGAGCTCTGGGTGAGTGGGGCGCCTACTCACCTGGAAGGAATCCCCAGTGCGGGACCTGTCGTCCTCTCCCCTAGGAGGCCATCCCCAGCACCTAGCCGCGGTGTGTCCTCCCCGACCACAGTTGGTGCAGGGGATGGACCCCCTAGTAAGCCGACCCCTCCTCTCTCTAGCGCCAGCACCCCCGAGCTCCATGGGACACGGCTCGGAGGCGCTGGAGGGTGAAATGGACGGACCCCCCTCGGAACGTCCGCGGGTAGCTAGTAGGTTATCCAGCCTGATGGACATGTCGACCAACTGGTCGAACGAGAGGCTGGTGTCCCTACAAGCCAGCTCCCGACAGACGTCCTCTCGTAGACTACACCTGTAGTGATCGACGAGAGCCCGATCATTCCACCCTGCATCTGCCGCTAGAGTACGGAATTCGAGGGCGAACTCTTGCGCACTCCTCCTCCCCTGCCGGAGGAAGACCAGACGCTCCCCCGCCGCTTTCCCCTCCGGGGGATGGTCAAACACCGCCCTGAAGCGGCGGGAGAACTCGTCGTACGTGATGGTGTCCGCGTCGATCCTCCTCCACTCCGCGTTGGCCCATTCCAATGCCTTCCCGGAAAGGCAGGAGATCAGGGCGGACACGCTCTCATGTCCCGAGGGCGCCGGGTGCACGGTGGCCAGGTACAGCTCCACCTGGAGAAGGAATCCCTGACACCCGGCCGCGGTTCCATCGTAGGACCTCGGGAGCGAGAGTCGGACTCCTCGGGGTTCCGGTGCTGGAATGGGCGGACTGGCCGATGGTGCTGGCAGGGAGGGTGGCGGTGGAGGCGTTCCCCAGCCTCGAATGGTGGTGATCACCTCCTGCAGTGCGGTCCCCATCTGCAGGATCTGGTCCCGTTGTTCCCGAACCTGGTCCTCCAGCGTCGTCTGGGCTGCTGCGGCTCCTGCTGATTCCATTTTAAGGTGTGTTATTCTGTCACGCGTGCTGTAGGTGGGTGTAGTGGTGGAATCAAACGCAGGACACCGAAGTATAGTCCAACAGACTTTAGTAACTCTCCAACAAGGAAATTACGAGAACACTTGCCCGAAGGCGAAATAACGCACGAAGGCGCACAAAACAAATGCGCACTAAACAGGTGCGTAAAACACTCCACGCAGTGGAGGGAAGCTCAACCGAGCGAAATAGCGAACATCAGCCCTACACACGACAGACAAAATCAATAACACACAACACCTGACAAACACAACGAGAACTAAATAGGACACTAATGACACTAAATGAAAACAGGTGTGACAACAATCAGACAAAAGCAAACGAACATGAAACATACAACGGTGGCAGCTAGTATTCCGGAGACAACGAACGCCGAAGCCTGCCCGAACAAGGGAGAGAGGCAGCCTCGGCCGAAACCGTGACAGTGTATGTCTTCCATTTCCTAATAATTGCTCCCACAGTTGATTTCTTCAAACCAAGCTGCTTACCTATTGCAGATTCAGTCTTCCCAGCCTGGTGCAGGTCTACAATTTTGTTTCTGGTGTCCTTTGACAGCTCTTTGGTCTTGGCCATAGTGGAGTTTGGTGTGTGACTGTTTGAGGTTGTGGACAGGTGTCTTTTATACTGATAACAAGTTCAAACAGGTGCCATTAATACAGGTAACGAGTGGAGGACAGAGGAGCCTCTTAAAGAAGAAGTTACAGGTCTGTGAGAGCCAGAAATCGTGCTTGTTTGTAGGTGACCAAATACTTATTTTCCACCATAATTTGCAAATAAATTCATTAAAAATCCTACAATGTGATTTTCTGGATTTTTTTTCTCAATTTGTCTGTCATAGTTGACATGTACCTATGATGAAAATTACAGGCCTCTCTCATCTTTTTAAGTGGGAGAACTTGCACAATTGGTGGCTGACTAAATACTTTTTTTCCCCACTGTATGTTTATGTATTCAAATTTGGGTCACACTTTATTTGGATAGTACGGATATTCCATGTAGAGGCTCTACAGATGGTCATATTATCAACAAACTATCTGTTGATAAGCAACTGCTTGCTAAGGTTACGGTTAGGGTTAGAATAAGGGTAAGGGTTAAGGTTAAGGCTAGCAGTGGTGGCTGGTGGCACTTAAAATGGGGAGGATGGGCTCATAGTCTATATATACAGTGGGGGAAAAAAGTATTTAGTCAGCCACCTACAATGTGATTTTTTCCACGGTCTGTACTGGTAAAATTTGCTTTGTGTAATAGGATTTTGATATTTGTGGTTGTAAGGTATTTTAGATGTATTTCCGGATTGAGTGGGAATGCAAACGGCATAACACAATATCCCTATAAAGTATCGAAATATGTGAGATACAGATCAAAAACTGTCTTGGGATATCAAACAACAGTATAGGTAAGTGTGAAAACAGGTACACGTGTCAAAATGGGGGATATCCTCCTTTAAGTGGTTGCTCTTTGCTGAAACATATACTGCCGATTGTGGCTTAAAGTAAGTTAAATGGGGTTTATACACCCCGTATTTCATGACAAACCCTACTTAATCAAATAACTATTGTTTTACAAAAAATCTGTGCAATCGGTTTAAGGAGTGGTCCTAGTAGAATTAGAAATTATGGTTCTCATTACCAAAACGGACCTAAAAATGATGTGGTAATGAGAAATGTGTGTATCGGTTATGAGAGGCACTTAGCTCAATCCTCAAATAATAGGAGACAGCCATTATGAGTCAGCAAAGAATTGACCACATCACTAAAGCCCATTCATGCCTCCATGTTAGTAAGGTAATGGTTCTCTGACATTTTACCAATTTGAGCTTTTTAGCTGTTTCGGTAATGAGAAGGCCAAGTGGGGTAAATGGGGTGTTTTTATTTTATTTCACCTTTATTTAACCAGGTAAACCAGTTGAGAACAAGTTCTCATTTACAACTGCGACCTGGCCAAGATAAAGCAAAGCAGTGCGATAAAAACAACAACACAGAGTTACATATGGGGTAAAACAAAACAAAGTCAAAAATACAACAGAAATACATATATATACAGTGTGTGCAAATGTAGCAAGTTATGGAGGTAAGGCAATAAATAGGCTATAGTGCAAAATAATTACAATTAGTATTAACACTGGAATGATAGATGTGCAAGAGATGATGTGCAAATAGAGATACTGGGGTACAAATGAGCAAAATAAATAACAATATAGGGATGAGGTAGTTGGGCGGGCTAATTTCAGATGGGCTGTGTACAGGTGCAGTGATCGGGATTGAGATTAAGAACCTCATTCTGAAGGCATACAAGCAAATAAAGTAAATTAACTTGTGCTCATCCAAGGACAACTCCTCTAGATGATGCATCATGGGTGAATACAACTTTATTTAAAAACGGAGTGGCGTTTTTACAGGCACTTGAAAAAGTGTTATGCAATTAGACACGTCTACAGACACTGTGTTGTTACATAATAAATATAATAGTTTAATATAAAATTCAACTAATATACAATTTTTATGAGTTATGGACAAACTACAGCAACATATTTTGTTTTATTCAAATAAGTTCTGTTTTCTAAAGTAAAATTGACCCGAGAATTTAATCCAGACGCATTTCGGTAATGAGAATTTGGGGTGAAAATGTACAAAATGCAGGTCAAAATGTTACATGTATTTAAAATAAGACACAAAAACTCAAAATCTTAGTCTTCAGAATCATAGTTGATTTTTCATGCATCAAGTTAGAGAGTCATGCTGTGTTCGTAAAAAAAAGAGAGAGGAAGATTAGTGTTTCCAATTACATAATCAACCAATTAGTAAGCAATTAGTGGAGCCTACTCACAATTGGTTAAATTCACTCGATGCACACCGATGATGTCATTTCAAACACTTATCTTCCTCAATTTTTTACTACAAAACATAGAAACACGCAATTTTCACATACTGAATGTTGATGTTGGGGTGGTGCTGGAGATTTAAAACAATATATATTCACTACAGAGGTCAATGTTTCTATTTGTGGCACACTTTGGATTATAAAGGACTTGTTTAACATTCCTTTTCACATTTCGTTGCTGGAGTGAAAAGATTTCAGAATTCTAACCACATTTTTGATATGATTAAATACAATTATTAACTGCAGAAATATGATAATTTTACGGTCACTGACTTCAAGTCATTTTTTTCTTCACATTACAGTCAGCCTCAAGCAGTGTTAATTACACCTAGATTTCACACCATGTTCCGATTTTGTACTGTACATGATGGGTTTCCATGGCAGCATCAACCAGACTATCACTGCATATCACTGAGTAATGGAAAGGGTTTGAATGTATGGCAACATCTTGCTTTCGAATCTGTTGCAGTATCAAAGAGTAATTCTGGGATTGAAGAGTAGAGGGAACCCGGATGATTAAAGGCTGCTGAAATCTGATAATTGACCAAGCTAGATAAAGCCCATCAAGGATTTCATCTCAGCAAAATATGTTCATGACTCACCCTATTTTGCTGCTTGGTTACAAGCTGTCATAGCAACAGTAGCACATTTTCTTGGGGGCATGTTTAGCTTTTTTTGAAAAACCTGTTAGAATTTGATTGAGAGGCTGCTTTTGGAGACTCGTGTGCTATGAAACAACATAGAAAAACTATTCGGCTGAAAAAGCAAAACAAATCCAATAGTCAAAAGATAAATGTCGGTCATACTACATACTGTACACTGTAATGCAAGTCAGGTTATAAACCAAGGTCTTGATCATTTATATGACTACTACCGAGGGTAAACTGTCTCTGTGGACAGCATGAATGTGTCTCTCAGTCTATTACACAATAGAGTCATGGCCATTAGCCGAGCTAAGGTTTCGCTCCTCTCGTCTCCAGTGGGCTATAATCTTGGGAGATGACAGATGGACACATTGGGAAGATTGGAGCCTGTGACCCTGCAGTCTAAAGACAACATGGAGCAAGGCTTCAGCTTCAGCACACTGGTGAGTCTTGTCAGTCAGTGGTAAGGGTACTCAGGGTGGGGGGTGAAGCGGGGAGGGTGTGAGCTGTGTGTGAAGTGGGATAGGTGGGAGGTGAAGAGGCGGTGTGAATAAGGAGGGGCTTGAGTGCTCTTGTCTTTGGAATTTAAGAATTCAAGGTTAGTATAGGAAGGCTGATGGAAGGCTGGGGTGAATGGGTTTACTCTGCAGAGGGGGGTTATGAGGCTCTGGGAAGGCACGTGGGTGGGCTGTATTGATGTCTTCTGTAGAGTGGGGGGGGGTGAGGAGTGGGAATGGGTTAGTGGGCAAGTGGGTCTGGGGGGTCCACGCCAACGGTTTCCTCTGACTCACTCCCATTAGTATTCCCACTGCAGCTGCTCTGACATTCAGACTCATCTCTCCATTCAGGACCATCCCTCCATCCTGGGTTGGGAGAAATGGATTGAAGGAGAAAAGGAGGGATAGAGCGGATGTTAGCCTCTTCAGACTTCACTTCCTCTGCTCATGAATAGATTATTAGACAAAGGAGATGTTATTATCGAGCCCTCAAAAGAGCGAGCGCTCGTGCCTGCTTCAACTGTCACTGCCAAAAGGATGACTAAATTTGATACTTCATCGAGTGTCCAAACATTTCCCCCATTATTTTGCCCATTATGTTCTGCGAGCAATGGGTTCTCTATCCCCCTGTAGAGTCCAGTAGAATCTTGATAAGACACCCACATTCAATAGTAACCTTATAGGAACTCTGCAGCAGCAGTGTCCAGTGTATACTGTGCTGTGCTCATTAATATGGTGCAGAGCAGGGCCGCTCAGGCCAAAGTGGGGGCTAGCATAGCAGTGGGCTCAGAGGGATCAGCTCCCTCCTCAATCCCCCCATCCTCAGCCCACTGAGCCTGCTCTGGCCGCCCTGTCCCAGTGAAGGATGAACAGTGATGATGTTGTCTGGTCACGTGACCTCCTGGAGAGGGAGGGCTGGGAGACTACTGAGGGAGACAGCCCATGTTGATGCTAGCTGTTTCAGAAGAAGCTACAGTAGTACTGCTGCTAGGGGTGATAGTGTTGCTGTGTCAGGCTGTTGGCCTTAGGGTTTTTCTGCCCATGTAGACGCTGGTACTGATGCAATGTTAGTGATGAATGTGTTGTTTTAGGCCCTGGGGTGTAGAGGTGTGCTAATGCTGGTGTTGATAACCAGGTTGTCTTATCCATGCTTAGTCCTATCCTAACCAAAACTAGCCTTTGATCAGTTTCTAGGGACACCTACTACACTGATGCTTGTGATTACTTTGACTCTTAAGTTGACCTCTGTGACTGTTCTGCCCGTGTCCTCTCTGACTCTGACCCTGGTGTTTGAACGTTGATCTCTGATCCTGGTGACCTTTGATCCCCAACAGAAGAAGCTGGCGGCCGAGCCAGATCACACAGACGTGAGCCTGACGGCGGCAGAGCGTGTGCGGACCCTCAGCAAGATGGGCTGCAGCATCGAGATCAACGAGGAGATCACGCCACGCCACTACTTCCGCTCCGGCGTGGAGATGGAGCGCATGGCTGCCGTGTACCTGGAGGAGGGCAGCCTGGAGAACGCCTACGTCCTCTACAACAAGTTCATCACGTAAGGAGAGGAGAGAGAGTATCTTATACCTGTGTCTAGACTAGGGCCTATGATAGAGTGTAATATTAGCAAACCTTTGAGCTATGTCCAATGTACTTATGGCAGATCAAGTATATTATCTGATGATTAACACACTACAGTACTTCATAAACTGTAATCTGTCTAACCACCCACAATCTCTCTGTTGTGTTCTAGTCTGTTTGTAGAGAAACTCCCCAGCCATCGAGACTACCAGCAGTGCAGTGTGCCTGAGAAACAGGTGATAATAAAGGTAATCCCTTGGGCTTCTGTAGTGAGTGGACCCCTGTGGTGCTCAGCCCTGCAGAAAGCCCATTAACATCAAGGCTCATTAGCCTGGCTGGAGGGATGGAGAGAGGGGTGGCAGGGTGGTACGAGGGTCCTGTCTGTCTGGCTGAGTGGTAGGCTGCTTAGTGGGTGCCTCATACTTAGTGGGGGGATTCAGGTCTGCTTTGATTTAAGTGATGTATGTTAAGGTAAGAGAGTCCAAGGTCAGCTCAGGGACAGCACTAGTTTAGAAAGGGCTGTAGATTACCTTTTGTTGTCAAACAATAGAAGCGCCACTATGATCTATTAAGTGCTTTGAAATGGTAGATGAATGGCTCATAATTTTTTATTCATAAAGTAATGATTCGGCCCACTCTTATTGACCATTGGAGCTGCAAAGTACCACTGCTAATGGAAGAAAGTGTTTCCCTGCCTGCACTCACACAGTTGATATTATTCTCAGAAGTTGCAAGATGTCGCATTTCCGCGGAAAGATCAATTGAAGAAGCTCCTCCACGAAAAGTACAACAAGGAACATACAGAGTATCTCAATAGTCAGGTAAGGATTAGCACCCAAACCTTTCATTACATTCATTGAGATTAGCTAGGAGGCTGCCTGGAAGCTCTATTTGTGGCTCTAAGCCCAGTGCTAGCGTGCAACACCTGTTCATATTAGTTACAGTGTGGTATTTGTATCACTTTTTCATGAATGTGAATACTTCAATGCAGCATTTTATAGTTACAGTTGTAGTTTATGGTAAGTAGTGATGAGAAGTGTTTAGGAGTAAGATCATGTATATCAACAAATTGTACTGATATTGAAATGGCACAGATCTGAAGTGTTATGTCTGTACCTTTGTTTGTGCGTGCACATGCGTGTTCATGTGTGCACTCGTTTGTATGTGTGTGCAGAGCCAGGCGGTGGTGGCAGATGGCTGCGGCCAGCAGCTGCAGAGGATGTCTCTGGTTGAGCAGGAGAGGCAGAGGGTGGCACAGCTGCGCAGGATGCAGATTGAGTCGGAGCAGTTCCGCTACTTCGAGGACCAACTGCGCAGACAGGAGCTGGCCAATCGCAGAGACGAGGCGGTCGCTAAAGTGCCTGAACAAACGGACGGGTCCTGCCTGTCTCACTCCTCCAAGAACCATGTTCGTCTCGACCCAAACCGCAATAAACAGCCTCTCCCCAGCAGCAAGCCAGCAGCTAAACTGGCTGGCGTACATAGTGAGTGTCCTGCTCCAGTTAGAATATAACATCTAGGTTCTATATTTTCGATTGAGTGATTGTTACTCAGAGACAATCCATTAGTATGGTAATAGGGAAGTCAATAATGAGGTACATTAATAGATACTGAATATATTTGAGCTGGTTAATCACTGTCGATGCATGTTTTTGTGTTGCAAAGTGCTGCATGAGTCACACTGATTGACATCCTGTTATTGTTGTTCTACATACTGTGCTTACGTGTGTGTGTGTGTGTGTGTGTGTGTGTGTGTGTGTGTGTGTCCATACAGATCAACGGGTTGAGGGCCTGAGGCGGGTGATCATTCCTAGAGACCTGACCTACAGGTTTCTACTGCTAGCCGACAGTAACACAGCCAGGGGTATAGAGACATGTGGGGTCCTCTGTGGAAAACTGGTAAGATATGCTCTGCTCTGTACACAAACATTGATCTTTTTTATTTGTAGACAAACTGCCAGTTTATTGGGGAAAGTCAAACTTCCCAGGTTACTGTTTACCTTATCTAAGCATACTGTAGGAGACACCATTTGTACTCAGTGCCATTCTATCTGCAAACAATAGTTATGTCAAGTAGGAGGAGAGAGGGAGGTTGCCAATGTAAGGTGTTCAATGTTCGAAGTTCAAGAATAATATTTGAAGTTGATTGTAGTTGCTACGGTATTTGCTCTCATTTTCTGATGTATGTCATGTGCATGCTTCAGATTGCTGTGTGTAGGTGGGTGTGCCAAATCCTGCAAAGTAGCAATAACAGTATGTCAGTGCCAGTAGACTTATGAGCAGTTATTAGCAACTATGTTGTGCATTGTAATGCACTAGCTCATAGGAAGTGTTACCTTTGTTTCTTCCAGACTCAAAACGAGTTCATGCTGACCCATGTGGTGGTGCCCAAACAGTCAGCGGGCCCAGACTACTGTGATATGGAGAACGTGGAGGAGCTCTTTAGTTTCCAGGACCACAACAACCTACTGACTCTGGGCTGGATCCATGTGAGTCGACACTACACTCACACGTACACACATATGCGCAAGCACACACACGTACACGTGCATGCACACTCACACTTACACATACACATGCACGCAAACATGCACATATACACTTACAGAGAGGCAATCTCGCCTATTCTAGTCATTTCTCATTTTTATGCCTTACAATAAACATGTCAATGACAAAGCCTACTTACATGAGTGCCTACAAAAATGCACAGCCTTTTGTAATTTATTTTCAAAGTCAAAAAGTAGGCGTATTAGATTTCAAATAAGTAGTTACACCAGCAAAATTGAGAAGAAGTAGAATAATAAAAGAAATATGAGGTATAACCGTACTGTTCTTGCTGAGAAGGACACTATTTATCCTGTAAAATGATTCCTTATGGAAAAAAACATACATTTCACATGTGAACACATGTTAAGTGTTCCAAAAACACATGTTTTCATGTGATCACATGTGATCTTATGTGAAGTTAATGTGATAACGTGACAACATGTAAAGCGATGTGGTAACATGAAACTACATGTGAAAACGTGATCACGTGAAGTGTTCTAAAAACATGTGTTTTTTTTGTAAGGGATAGCCCATCAGTGGAACAATTCCTATTCCTTATGACTTACATCAGTTAATGTGAAAGAAAGAAATGAAAAAGAAAATCTCATGAAGACAACAAAGCATAGCCTACATTTACCCAGGGATACACTCTACCCAAATTATGTCTATTTATTTTTTCCCACTCTAATAAAACGTATACTTTTGGGTTCACAATGTATTTTTTTTTTAAACTAAATGTGTGCGTGTCCAGTTACAAGGTTGTTAGCTAATAAGGTAACATGACTGAACAGCCTGTTTGTTATTAGACAAATAGGCTAGTAAGTGGCCTGTGAGTAACCTAGTTTTAAAACTGCCTGGGAAATTGTATTTATCAAATGCTTCCCGCGAATTCACGATAGAAAAAAAACAAGAAACTGTACCTCTGGTAAAATGGATCATATCTTTTTGAATAGTTTGGGCTACAGACACACTGTTTTCACTGAGGTAATGGTGAAACCATGACAGTCACAAAGCTGAGCACTTGCCTAGCGTGTAAGTGATGCGCCATTTATGGAAACTTATATCAGACTTACAGCCTGCAATTTCAAAATTCTTCGACCATCAAAAGGTTCGGGGCTTGACCAAAAACATTTGGGGCTGCAGCCCCGGAAGCCCAGGCCTAATAACGCCTATTGACGCCTAAAATGGGAGTTATAGAGGGGAGGGACACAGTGAAATGTAGTTCCGCTGATTTTGGGGAATAAACATATTCTGTAAATATCAGATATAATACCTAACATATTTTTGACACAGTTCCATTATCTACAACCAACCCTTCTGACTGTTGCTCCCCTCTTCCCTCAGACCCACCCCACCCAGACGGCCTTCCTGTCCAGTGTTGACCTGCATACACACGGCTCCTACCAGCTCATGCTGCCTGAAGCCATCGCCATCGTCTGCTCGCCCAAACACAACGAGTGAGTCTCTGTCCCTGTCCCTGTCTGCTAGAATGAGTAAGCCTACTGATGCTAACGCTAAAGAAAACCAATCTACTAAGACATGCAATGTGGGTGGTATCAAATAGTTTATTCAGTAGGGAACAATGTTATAGGAAATGCATGATGTAGAACCGACATGATGATTCTCTGTGATGTGGAATAATGAGTCGTGTCAGTTCTATACTTAACATCTCTATCTGATTCTACACAGCTCTAAATGTTCTACCTCACTGAATAAGCCTCAGGCATAAGTTAAGCTCTCAGATGACCAACCTTATGTAGGCCTTAGAGTTGCTTGGCTGGAAGACGATCTAGTTTTACCAGATGGATGTCATGACTTCCTTTGGCAATGAGAGCTCTACTGTATATAGACAAGGCCTGTGTCTGTGAGTTGCAGTACGGGGGTGTTCAGACTCACCAGCTCTGGGATGGGGGAGGTCGCCGCCTGCAGGCTGAAGGGCTTTCACCCACACTCCAAGGACCCGCCGCTCTTTAGCGTAAGTAATACACACAGACATTTTCCCAGCAGAAAGAGAGGCCTCACTACTTCCCTCTTATTCAGCACAGTCACAAATAGAGCTTGTGTGTTCATATAACCCTCTATTTTTTAAATGTAACCTTTATTTAACTAGGCAAGTCAGTTAAGATCAAATTCTTATTTACAATGACGGCCTACCCCAGCCAAACCCAGACGACACTGGGCGAATTGTGCGCCGCCCTATGGGACTCCCAATCACGGCTGGTTGTGATACAGCCTGGAATCGAACCAGGGGGTCTGTAGTGACGCCTCAAGCACTGAGAGGCAGTGCCTTAGACTGCCGCGCCACTTCATGGTTGTGCTTCTCCACTATTTCTGTTAGTTAACCTGAGAATGAAACAAAGCCTTTTCTATTTTCAGATCTGTAGGCATGTTGTTATAAAGGACTGGAAAACAACAGTGCTGGACCTCAGGTGACAGCGAGGGAAAGACACCCACAACCCTCCCCCTCCTCCCCATCACAAACTGGAACTCCTATTTATATCTTTGTTTACAATGAAGGCTTTTGTATTTATTTATTTATTTGAAATGAGGTACTGTGAATTGAAACTGCTTTGCAACACAGAATGATGTGAGCTATGGAGTTGTTCTAATGGTGTTGTTTTATCAACCCTTTATTTAAGTTGTGGATTTTTTGGGGGGGCTTTTTGATAGCTTGGCTTGTCAGTTTTGGCAGAGGGGAGTTTTTGAGCCATATAGTCTTTCTGCTTGTCAGATTTTATGTGAAATTCTTCAGAGCTAACTATTTTAACACGCAGGCCTACTGTAAATGGCCTTAGGTGTTTCAGTGTGAGAACAACTGCCTGAGAATAAAGTGTGTCTGCGAGCGGGTGCATGTGTTACATGAATGATAGTCTCCCATGAGGGTATCCTTACCCTTAACTTTCCTGGTACAGGATACAACAGACAAGACTTGAAAGACACAATTATACATTTTTGCACAATTGATTACATATGCAGAGATACAACAAACAAACAAAACATTTTTTTAAAACTCAATATATAATGGACTGATTGAATTGTGATGGCTGTGTGGTTTAGGAAGTTGTTTTGTGTTGTCTTTTTAGTCTAAGTTATAATAGATTACTTTTGGCCAGTTGGATGTTAGCCTTGACATTTTTGCATTATTTGTGAGTCTTGATTTATCTTGAAGTGTTGACCTGAAAGAAAACCGTAACTAAATTATTATTAAAGTAGCCCATCGAGGTGGATTGTCTTGTGGGGGGAGGAACAAACCAAAGTGCTCAAAGAATTACAGTGAATTCAGAAAGTATTCATACCACTTGACCTATTCCAAATTTTGTTATTACAGCCTGAATTCAAAATGGTTTAAATAGATTTTTTTGACTCACCCATCTACAAACAATACCCCATAATGACAAAGTGCAAACATTTTTTAAATATATTTTTTACAAATGTATTGAAAATGAAAAATATAAATATCTAATTTACATAAGTATTCACACCCCTGAGTCAATACTTTGTAGAAGCACCTTTGGCAATTCCAGCTTTGAGTTGTCTTTGGTATGTCTGTAGCAGCTTTGCACATCTGGATTTGGGAATTTTCTCCCATTCTTCCTTGCAGATTTTCTCAAGCTCTGTTAAGTTAGATGGGGAGCAGCAGTGAAAAGCAATCTTCAAGTCTTTCCACATTTCCACGTTTGCACTCTGAAGCAGGTTCTCATCAAGGATTTTCCTGTATTTGGCTCCATTCATTGTTCCCTCTCCTTACAACTCTCCCAGTCCCTGCTGCTAAAAAGCATCCCCATAGCATCCCCATAGCATGATGCTGCCACCACCATGCTTCACAGTAGGGATTTACATTTACATTTACATTTACATTTTAGTCATTTAGCGGACGCTCTTATCCAGAGCGACTTACAGGGATGGTGTTAGACGGTTGATGAGCTGTGCCTGGTTTTCTCCAGACATAGAACTTTGCATTCAGGCCAAAGAGTTAAATGTTTGTCTTATGCTTTGAGTCTTTCACATGCCTTTTTGCAAACTTCAGGGGCCTCATTTATAACCGTCTTGTAAATTTTACACAACATATCTGCATGCACCATTTCTGAAAAGTGTGCACGCACGAAAATATTTAGATTTATAAACTTGGTGCATGCCATAAATACGCATGTTTCCCGTTATAAATCAGACCTGTAGTAAAACTGTGCGCACGTGAAGGAACTTTATAACGCTGCCTGAAAAACGCCCATCATTCACCTTTTATGGTGACAATAACTACCTTATTTGCTGCATACCTTGGAAGTATCGGAATTTTTCCTGCGCTACAGATGGCTGTATTGGTCTGCTAATACAGCACTAGTTAAGGCCCAGTGCACTACGTTTGTGGGGAAAAAAACATTTATTTATTTAATGGATTTTTCAGGGGGTGCTGCAGCACCCTCAGCACCCCTATTTCCTGCGGTTATGCTGTCTACTCAGGAAAAAAAAGAAAACTATAGGCCTACTTACAGTGGTAGCCTATACACTTCAATGCAAAAGATCAACTGTCTGTTCACCTGTTGAATTCTATTGTATGTTATAAAGCGCGCTCCCTTTCGGAAATCATAGCATATCTTATACTGGTAGGCCCAATTAAATGAGAGCTGCGCATGGTAATTTGTTGTATGGCTACTTCAGGAATATGAACTCATCATGGCCAGAAAAGGTGAGGAATTTACTCTGCAATGGTTATGATATATGATATATGTATTATTCTTTATGAATGAAATATTGTCTACTCAAGAAATTTGACATTACCGTATACAGACATAGCCTACAAAGGTCAATGGAAAAGGTGAACCGTCTTGTCTACCAGCCAGCGCAGCTGTCTACCGTTAAACTGCACTTCGGATTGAATCTCAGAGCAAAATACTTGAAATGGCTTATCTGTTTACTACTGTGAAGCGGGTCCAATTAAATGAGAGATGGGACGAATGGTAGCCTATCCTAACTTGTTGTAGGCCTATAGGCTATTTTGTGAGTATGAAACCATCACAGTCAGAAAAGGTGAGGAATTTATTTTGCAATGATCATGGAAATGAAATAAATAATAGGAAATAGATGCCTAAATCCAATTTTTATAGAATGCAAAAATAAAACAAATCGATTTTCGCTTTTCTCACTGACGGCAAGTGATTGCATCTTGTAATTATATATTTAGCTACCCGATTGTTTTGTTGTTATGAATAAGACTGTCGTCATATTTTCCTGCACAAGGCTAGTCTACTTCTGCCTTCTTGCCATGCAATACCTCAACCACTAGAAAATGCATACTCATGGTCTAAAGTTTGCGAGAGGATAAGCACATTCTCATGTCAAGTTTTTATTTATATATTTTTTATAAATTGCAACTTTAGTGTGAAAACGGGCGTTTTGGGGCATTTATTTTGCAAATGCAAAGTTTATAAATGAGGCCCCAGGAGTGCTGTCATGTGGCTTTTTCTCAGGAGTGGCTTCCATCTGGCCACTCTCCTATAAAGCCCAGATTGGTGAAGTGCTGTAGAGACTGTTGTCCTTCTGGCAGGTTTTGACATCTCAGCCAATAACTTTGTAGTTCTGTCAGAGTGGTCATTAGGTTCTTAGTCACCTCCCTGACCAAGGTCCTTCTTGCCTGGTTGTTCAGTTTGGTCGGCCAGTCAGCTCTAGGCAGAGTCTGGGTAGTTCCATATTTTTGCAATTTCCCAATGATGGAGACCACTGTGCTCTTGGAAACGTTCAACACTCTAGAAATTGTTTTATATCCTTCCCCAGATGTACCTCATCACAATTCTATCTCAGAGATCTACAGACATTTCCTTGGACTTCATGGTATAGTTTCTGCTCTGACATGTACCTTATATACTGTATATAAATCATCTCCAAACAATTTAATTGACAACAGGTGGACTTCAATCAAGTTGTAGTGACATCTCAAGGATGATCAAAGGAAATTGGATGCACCTTAGCTCAATTTGGAGTGTCATAGCAAAGGGGTGTGAATACTTACAGTAGCAGTCAAAAGTTGGGAACTCCTTCAAGACTGTTGGAAAAGCATTCCAGGTGAAGCTGGTTGAGAGACTGCCAAGAGTGTGCAAAGCTGTCATCAAGCCAAAGGGTGGCTATTTGAAGAATCTCAAATATAAAATATATTTTGATTTGTTTAACAGATTTTTGGTTACTACATGATTCCATATGTGTTATTTCATAGTTTTGATGTCTTCACTATTATTCTACAATGTAAAAAATAGTAAAAATAAAGAAAAACCCTTGACTGAGTAGGTGCATCCAAACTTTTGACTGGTAGCGTATGTAAATTAGATATTTCTGTATATCATTTTGAATAAATTTGCTAAAACAATATAAAAACATGTTTTCACTTTATCATTATGGGGTATAGTCTGTAGATGGGTGAGATTTTTTATTTATTTAATCCATTTTGAATTGAGGCTGTAACACAACAAAATGTGGAATAAGTCAAAGGGTATGAATACTTTCTGAAGGCACTGTATAAGCAAAGATGCATTAGACGCCTTATAAGAGGAGTAGCTTTTTGCCATCCCAAGGGCCTTGACTACACAGAGCTCAGGTATCAGTTCACTTGTCACCCCCATGAAGCATTTAACTAGCCTGGTCTCAGACCTGTTTGTGCAATCTTGCCAACTCATCATTGTTTGGCTTGACAATGACCATTGAAGTTAACGATACAGCATAAACAGATATGGAACAAGGCTATCCTTTAACGACCCCTCTGTAGAAAATGGAGCTGTCCTTTTTTCACCTTTGGCAGAAACGGGCATAATTATATATATATATATATATTTTACACTACACACCCCCTCACAGCAGTCCTGATAATGGCATTATCAGTTGTACAATGTGGTGTTGGACTATTGCTACAGTGTGATTAGCTGTCCCAGTGGCGCTGCACAAACGTGTTACGTTGTAGTGGCAATGTGTTTGGCAATGGGAAAGACAACCAGTCAATGCAGTGACTCTACCACACTTTTCCACTGCTTTATCTCCTTGTCCAAGTTGTTGTTTAACTGCTCTTCAAATGTAGTTGTTCTGCATTTGTCCCCAAATGAACAGAACCATGTCATCAAGGGAACGGAATGAGTGAAAACAGGTTATCAAGACAGGACCAGAGATCCAGTTCCTCTGCAATCCAGGGCATGAAGTATGTCAGTGTAATTACGTTGTGTTGGAGAATAAACAAAGCCATTATCCTGAAAGGATGAATCAGGAAATGTGTATTTTAAGAACAGGCATTTGTTGTAGTTCATTTTCTGAGAATGTGGGGTAGCAGTGACGCATAGAATCTGGTGTCTTTTGTATAAGAACATGTGGCTAGATGCAACAGTAGTTATAGTAATTATATTATAAACACTTGTAATATAAATGTATGAGCCAGAGTTCTTTGTAGGAGAGCTTTATTCCTTCCTTGGGTGTTCATTCATGTTCACATGGATCTTTACAAACAGTCAGATGGTTGAAGCTTTCAGCAGTGATCTGAGCCATGCGAGAGACCACATCCAGGGATGAAGTACTGAACAAAGTGAACAAAAGAGGGAGAATGCTAGCTCTGTGGAACAGATTCAGCCTCTTCTACTTCATTCTATTGCCACTGCTGGAATCTATACACTCCCCCAGGAATGGCCCCAAAGTTGTATATCAGCTGCACATTCAAGCTTTATTCATTCAAAACAAAAACACAACCAACCAATAACATAACATAACATTCACTCAGGGGTGGGCAGTGCAAAGACAGAAACACAGGAGGGTAAATGGGGGACACATTCACAGTTTACAGGCAAAAGAATGAGAGCAGAAATTGGGGCTGGAGGGAGGGAGTGGGCTGGGGTGGGTGGGTCTGGACCTTGTTTAGAAGCACTTGCGATGCACAATGGAAGGGCCGGCCTCGTCGTACTCCTGCTTGCTGATCCACATCTGCTGGAATGTGGAGAGGGAGGCCAGGATGGAGCCACCGATCCAGACGGAGTACTTCCTCTCAGGTGGGGCGATGATCTGGTAACACAGAAGAGATCATTTAATACACAGAATGAGCAAATCACATATGTGCAATGAATAAGGTACAGTACAATGAAACTTAGTAAGACAATATCAGTGATATTCAGCTTCAGATTGAGTCTTAACAACTTAACTCAAATCCTGAAACACTTATGAAGACAAAGATTTATATTAATAGAAAAGAGGTCAAAACTTGGAAAGGATAATTGCGTTGAAGTGGGCCAATATCGTTACTGGCTGTGAATGGCAAAAATAGACCTTTACAATTAGGAGGAATACTATATTGAACAAGTTCAAATCACTGTATAACATCTCACACAGTGACGTGTAAGTTAACTCTGTATGTTAGTATCTTCTACACACCTTGATCTTCATGGTGCTGGGGGCCAGAGCTGTGATCTCCTTCTGCATTCTATCTGCGATGCCAGGGTACATGGTAGTACCTCCTGACAGGACGTTGTTGGCGTACAGGTCCTTACGGATGTCAATGTCACACTTCATGATGCTGTTGTATGTGGTTTCATGGATACCAGCAGACTCCATGCCTGGGGAGAAACCAGAGGAAATCACACTGAGTCACAAGAGACAGAGATAGATCTTTGTTTCAAACTCTTGAGAGAAAGGCAGATGGAGAGAGTGAAAGAGGGATAACAAAAAGAGAGGGGGATTACCGATGAAGGAGGGCTGGAAGAGGGTCTCGGGGCAGCGGAACCTCTCATTGCCGATGGTGATGACCTGACCATCGGGAAGCTCATAGCTCTTCTCCAGAGAGGAGGAGGAGGCAGCAGTGGCCATCTCATTCTCAAAGTCCAGGGCGACGTAGCACAACTTCTCCTTGATATCACGAACGATTTCTCTCTCAGCTAGAGATAGGAGAATACGGGGGAGGTTAGATCAAGAACTTCGATTGATTGGTAGAACAGCACTTCTGTATCCGCATAGGCCTCTGCTTAAAAGTAATGTACTGTACAGTATGAGAAAATATAGTGTCATCAGAGATTTGACCATCCCACAGTTCCTACTGACCAGTGGTGACGAATGAGTAGCCCCTCTCGGTCAGGATCTTCATGAGGTAGTCAGTGAGATCACGGCCAGCCAGGTCCAGACGCATGATGGCGTGGGGCAGGGCATAACCCTCATAGATGGGGACGTTGTGGGTGACACCATCACCAGAGTCAAGGACAATACCTGTGGAGGTTTAGGAGGACACAGGTTTAGGAGGACACAGGTTTGGGAGGACACAAGGTTAAGACTCAGTGGAACTGAATGGTCAGTGTAAAATGAGGCTGGTTTTGACTAGGTGTGTTAGACTGACCTGTTGTGCGACCAGAGGCGTAAAGGGACAGAACGGCCTGGATAGCTACGTACATGGCTGGAACGTTGAAGGTCTCAAACATAATCTAGAACAGGAACATTTGTTTAGGTTACAGTGTTATTTTTCACACTAACATTTTGACAGTAAGCATACCATTCTCATGGCACTAATCAAAGGTCATAGCATCATGTAACACATTCCTTCTGTATATATCAAGTGCATTACACAGCCTTAAAAGGCTGGGTTAGAAATATACATTGGACCAAGTCCCAGCTGTAGTGTATGAGGGTCATCACCTGGGTCATCTTCTCCCTGTTGGCTTTGGGGTTAAGGGGGGCCTCTGTCAACAGGGTGGGGTGCTCCTCTGGGGCCACACGGAGCTCATTGTAGAAAGAGTGATGCCAGATCTGCCAATCAACACAAAACACACCAACCAATCAAACAACAGCCTCACCACAACCTGTTGAAAAAATATGGGGTTCTATTGAGGCCCTTGTTGAAATGCCACACAAAAACATTGAGGTCGATTTTGAGAGAAATGTGCGATTCTAAGTGAATAACACCATCTGTTGCATGCATCTGTTGAGGGGATGACAGTGTGTGCCCTGAGCTAATTGGTTGACATGTTTGTCTCTTAGTCACCGGGGATGAGTCATAGTTAGATTACATGACAAAACTTGCATGGTGGAGGACGGGGGTACCATTAGCATAACATCTCTTTAGCTAACTCCATCTTTATCTAACCAATGATCATGTAGTAGTTCTGAGAATAGATCCTGGATCTAAATGCCACTGGATGGATCCCAAAGTGCCATCCGGGGAGTTGTGTTGGCTGAGGGGCTATTTTTGGGTGCCATGATGGAAAATTTAAGTACATCAAATTCCATGTTAGAATGTGTTACTGTGTTCCAATGCAATTTTTGTATGGTCGTCTAAATCATGTGTGTTTATGAGTCTGTGTGTCATTGTTTTCTTGTAGGGTGTGGTGGGGTGTGGTAGGGTGTGGTAGGCTTACTTTTTCCATGTCATCCCAGTTTGTGATGATGCCGTGTTCGATGGGGTACTTCAGGGTCAAGATACCTCTTTTGCTCTGTGCCTCGTCACCCACATAACTGTCTTTCTGTCCCATACCCACCATCACACCCTGAGGAGAGGAACAGGCTGGTCAGAAACACACTCACCACACTGTAAAGTGGATGCTATTGCTAGCACTGAAATTCAACAAATAGGCTTTGCTGTGTGGAGATTTAACCATGATGGGTAAAGTAATGAGAAAAAAAAAGTGAAATATTTAAATAAAAATGCTTTGAAATTAAGAATATAACAGGGACCGTGAAAGACTACGGTCAAAAAGTGGATGCATTCCAATCACCCAATCAGAAGTCGGTTACATCCAGCCTCTCTTATGATGGACGAATGGCGGCTCACCTGATGTCTGGGACGGCCCACAATGGAGGGGAATACTGCTCTGGGGGCGTCGTCCCCGGCGAAGCCTGCCTTGCACAGACCGGACCCATTGTCACACACAAGGGCAGTGCTCTCTTCGTCGTCACACATTGTCAATTCTTTGCTTTACCTTCCTTACTCCGACTGGAGACAATCACTGCAGGGGCACCAAACAGAAGAGTGTGTTAACATCTACAGATTGGTAGATTGGTGTGTGTGTGTGTGTGTGTGTGTGTGTGTGTGTGTGTGTGTGTGTGTGTGTGTGTGTGTGTGTGTGTGTGTGTGTGTGTGTGTGTGTGTGTGTGTGTGTGTGTGTGTGTGTGTGTGTGTGTGTGTGTGTGTGTGTGTGTGTGTGTGTGTGTGTGTGTGCATGCAGGCATGTGCATGTGCATGTGTTCACATTTATGTGTGAGTAGGTCTATCCCTCTAAAGCAGTGTGACCACACCCTTCTGAGGTGAATTCATGAAAACCTTAAACCATAATAAATGCAAATCTGGTGTGGCAATTATTGTCATTAATTCATTCAGGAATACATGGCTCAGGTAAATCCACTAGTGTGAACCAAAGTGTGAAAAAAGGATGTAGGCTATTCCTATTGAAAGTGACAAAGTCCATTTGGAAAGTTGACCTGTGCTTAGAGTACAATATAAATACATTTTTCCAAAAGCCTATGAAGCACATTGTTATACAATGTTATAATAATGTAAAAATGTAACATTAATAGCAAAGCATTCATGATTAAGACCAAAACTCCCCATAGGAATTACCCTACAACCCTCCTGAGTTAGGGTTAGGGTTGTACTCCAGTCTGTAATGAATGAATTCAGCACCCTGGGAAAACTTCCTAATTAGGAAATGATGCGGCGTCATGTCTGTCTTTGGACTGGACTTTGCAAACCTTTCTCCTTCACTCCCTTTCTCTGGCCCTGCTTGTCTACAATCGTTTAAAAAAATAGAAAGGAGCGAAACACGACAGGGATGGGAGGGAGGGAGAGAGAGGAGAGGGCAGCAGAATCAAGGAGAACCATATTTAGTCATAAACCTTTGGAATAAAGGATTTCCAAAGCTTTCCAGCAGAGGGTACCATGAGCAGCTATGATGAAGTTGGCCAGTGTTGAACTCTTCAAGACTCCCATCATTTGCAGAACATAACAGAGACCCCCAAACTTTCCAAACTGACTGAGTTCCTAAGAGACTTTACACTCTATGAGACAATCTATGAGCTTGACTGTCCCCAAGAGACGTTACAAGACTTTGAGACAGCCTTTGAGAAAAATGTTTCTGTTGAGTTATGGTACTGACCCAGATGTCTAATACCATGATCAACTAACTGAAAAAACAATGCATAATTGGTAACAGGTATCTTAGCCTATACCATAGTTGCACCAAGACATTGCAATTCGAGCATTTACAACTGTGTTATTCTACTACAGTCTTTCAAGCAAGCTCCAGCATGAGCAGCAACACTCACTTCTTCAACCACAAATCCTAAATGAACCACAACAGCATGAGGCTTAAGATCTGTTCCAAGAGCTGTGACACTTGATACACACAACAGACCACAGTGACTTAGCTGTGATACTTCTAAACCCCTGTCTTGTATTAACATGCACCTGTGAGATTAGCCAAAGCTCTTCAAGGCTAATGAGCCTGGTTTATATTGAGCAGCAGTCTGTGCTGTAAGGTGCTGACCCCTGCAGTTGACTCAGACTAGCAGATTAGCAGCTAACAATGTAGCAGGTGTCGTCTTGAGGCAGTAAGGCAGACTGGCAGGCAGGAGAGGAGGAGAGGGTAGGAGAGCAGAGGAGAGCAAAAAGGACAAAAGAAGTGGAGAGAAGAGGAAAGAAGATGGTAGGAGAGGAGAAGGGAGGAGAAAGGAGGAAAGGAGAGGTGAGGTGGTGGCCCACTTACCCTGACAGTGCTTGGCCGGGGTATACCGCTCAAGGATGGTGTGCCCCCTCACTGGCCAGGGGAGAGTTTATGTAGCTCCCAGCCCCTATCTTGCACTTCCCCCTCCCACATCCCAAACATGGAGCCGGGGCTGCACTCTCCCTGTCTGCCTCACTCAGCCAGAGCCTTATAGGGATGGCCGGGGAAAAACAGTCCAATAGTGGAGGGCCCAAGTCCCATCATTCAGAGCATTCCAGGGGCCTTTTTTCTGTGAAAGGCAGGAGATCTCACCATCCTGGAACATAAACACACAGCACAGAGCTCATAGGACTGCCCCCTGTGACACACAGGGCCCTCACACACACACACACACACACACACACACACACACACACACACACACACACACACACACACACACACACACACACACACACACACACACACACACACACACACACACACACACACATAGACTGTGGCATCCCCATGTAGCAAGAGTGACATGGGTTAGGTCACAAATATAGCCTATAGGTGCTGTTTGAATTGGCATCAGTTAGATGATTAAATATTCAAGCAGTGTGAAGGAATATTATTACTTGTCAGTTGAGGTAGAGGTCTGTTAAATTCTCTAACTATGGAATATCCTAACCTCTCAAAATGTCAGATTGTCATTCTACACTCTTTTTCTCAGTTTCTCCCTGAAATTACCTTGCAACCCAACTTGTAATTGTCTGTGATAACCCACACTGAAAGGAAAGGGTGGTCACACTTTATTTGGATAGACCCATATAGATGATCTTGAGATGGTCATACTAACACTAAACTATCTGTTGATAAGCAACTGCTTGCTAAGGTTACTGTTAGGGCTAGGGTTAGGGTAAAGTTTAGGGTTAGGATAAGGGTTAAGGTTAGGGTTAGAGCTAGGGTGAGTAGATAGTTAGTTGAAATGTTGTTGGCAGTTATTGAACATCTACTGAACATCTACAAACCATCTACTTGGGACAATCCAAATAAAGTGTGTGTTACCAAAAGTGCTCTCGTTTGTGAGCAGCGGCTTGGGTAGGTAGACCTTGAGACCATAGCGAGGAAAAGTGAAGTTGAGGCTTTACTAAAGGTGCTGAAAGAACCTGTCACCAACTGCCCATTGCCACAGCGCTGAGACCCACAGTAAGTGGCCTGTTGAGTCACTGGCTCTTAGTATTACAAAGGCCACATCACCCTGCTCTAACAGTCAGGGGGTCAGACGAACAGTTCTCTCCCCTGGTCAAAAAGCACTTTATCTTCCATTTCATCACTTTTTGACCTCATATTCATTATCCTCATGACCATACCAGTGTCTCTAGCCTACACACATAGTCTAAAGCTTAAGTGCCCCTTTAAGTTGAAGCTAAATATATGTAGTTATTATTGAACTATAAGAGGAGCAGCTGGTCATAAGTTGGGGATGGGACGCTAATCATCATCTGCACTGGCACTGGTGGGATCACATACTGTAAACCCATGAGCTCATCTTCAGACGAATTGGCCGGGTGTTGTCTCAGGTATCAGGTTCTCTGGGCTCTCTGCTTGTCTGATGAGGTATGCTACTCTACAACAACGTACTGACAATAGCCAGCACAAAGCCATATCAGGATGAGAGACAGTAGTGGAGAGAGGGAGTTGAAGGGGGTGGAGAGAAGGGGAGAGAGAGGGGGGTGGCAGAGGACAAGATGGAGAGAGGGAATAAGGAAGTGAGAGAGTAAGAATATTATCAGCATGACTGGAGGGCTATTGGGTTTGTGGTTGAACTAACTAAATATACTGTACCTGTAAAAGGCCATTGTCAGTGAATGTGAATTGTCATTAGATGCAAATGGTACAGCAATCCCTCTGAAACAGTTAAAATGGTCAGGAATCGTCAGACTGTGCAAAAGAATGTAGCTGTCACCCAATGATCAACAGCTTTTAAGCTACAGCAAAATAATTTTTTTTAATTACAGTTTAAAAAGTATATATTTTTCTTTCTCTGCCATAAATCTTGAAATAACATTCTCATTTCACTCTCATGTTCTGCCATGTCATGACGATTATATGTAACTGAGCTTGTTCCTTACTTGTGTGTTCGAGGGAATTCTCAGTCCTGTTGTATTAAAGGATTCGTCATGTCCAGTAGTACAGAAGCTAAACTGTTTCATGGAAAAAATGCTTGGAATGTTAGATCTGCTATCAAAAATAAATGTAGCTTGTTGTAGCCTACACTCCATCCTAGACTGATGCTAGCTGATGCTGGTCTTCCTTTTGTTCATACTTTTAATACTTGCAATTAGTAACAAGATGTTGTACCGCAAGATGGCCAAATGTACCACATTATAAGACTTTTAATTCATTGTAACACAAAGGTAAAATTATTCAACAGTACGCAGCTCTCACAATATTGTCTAACTAGTCAGACTTGCACATCTCTACAAGGAGAACCTTTACCGATACATGACCTTTGCAATACTAGCATGGCTGGTGTTTATCACTGTCTGTCAGAGTGAAATCACCCAAATTGGAGGTCAGTTTTACACATTGAAGGAAAGCCACTGATCTGCCTCCCACTCTGCTACAGTAACAGCATGCAGCAGACTTTAATGCAGCACCAAAAAAGGAGCTGTTCAGTAAATAAGGAGAGACTTGGCAGACCACGCTTCCCCAAGGCATGTAGGGAAGAAATAATCCTACTGAAGGTGTGGTCTGGGAAAAAACATACCCTCACTCTATTGTGTGTGTGTGTGTGTGTGTGTGTGTGTGTGTGTGTGTCTGTGTGTGTGTGTGTGTGTGTGTGTGCGTCTGCATCTACGTAATACTGTCGGTAAAAAGGCGTTCTGCATGTTTAAACTGAAGATATCCTTTGCACCCCGTTAGTCAGTGGACGCTCACTTATTTCCATGTTTAGCTGCACTCTTTACTTCCTCTCCTCTCTTGCAGTGACTTCTCTTCTTCTTCATGAGACCTCCTCTCATTCTTTGCCTCATTAAAGGCACATCTGTGTTTCTAAATTATAGTAACTACAGTAACTAATTCAGTGAGCCTTGTTTTGAAAGTCTATGCATAATACATTGCACTTTTTTGAAGACCATGGGTATACAGCATTATGTAATTATACTCCATACCAAGTACAGAAGACATGTTATTATCTGAGAGGTTCTAAAAAAAGATGATAGTCATCATCATACCCTTGTGTCACATAACTTTA